TCTGCAAACTTACTGAGGGAGCACTCAATCCCCTCATCCAGATCATTGATCAAGATATTAAACAAGACTGGACCCAAAACTGAGCCCCGGGGAACACCACTCGTGACTGGTCACCAGCTGGATTTAACTCCATTCACCACCACTCTCTGCACTCGGCCATTCAGCCAGTTCTTTATCCAGCGAAGAGTACACCCATCCAAACCACGGTCAGCTGGTTTCTCCAGGAGGATGCTGTGGGGAACAGTGTCAAAGGCCTTACTAAAGTCCAGGTAGATAACGTCCACAGCCTTTCCCTCATCCATAGAAGGAGATCAGGTTGGTCAAGCAGGACCTGCCTTTCATGAATGTATGCTGGCTGGGCCTGATCCCCTGGTTGTCCTTCACATGCCCGGTGCGTGCACTCAGGATGAATTGCTCCATAATCTTGCCTGGCACCGAGGTCAGGCTGACAGGCCTGTAGTTCCCGGGATCCTCCTTCCAGCCCTTCTTGTAGATGGATGTCACATTGGTGATCCTCCAGTCGCCTGGGACCTCCCTTGTTGGCCAGGACTGCTGATAGATGATGGAGAGTGGCTTGGCCAGCTCCTCTGCCAGTTCCCTCAACATTCTTGGGTGGATCCCCTCTGGTCCCGTAGACTTGTAAGTGTCCATGATCTAAAGTTACTCACTGAAAGAGAGGAGCTATTTTCTACAACAAAATTTTCATCACCTGGATTTTTTTTTTTTTTTTCATTGATAAATTGTCTGGGGAAGGGGCGAAAGAGGGGAAAAGAAAGCCGGCATAGCAACGTCGTCTTTCTTCGTCTGAGAACTGAGGAATTTTTGTATTGACAGTATCTAATGAGTATTATTTTTTTAGCACTATGCGATTTTTTGAGTCAATATGGTACATTAATCTACATCTGTTATATTTAAGTAATGAAAACTAGCTTATAGACAAGTGAATGGCTAGAACAATCCAAGTATGAATAACGGGGAACGTGCATGAATGAAAATTTAGCACTTCATTGATGTATTTAAAGCCATGATGTGAATGACCTCCTGTGAGACAGTACTTGGGAGCAGAGAATCAATGACTTATTTGATGACTCATTGTTAATGCATTTTTAATGGATACTGAGATGCATTTACTGACATGATAGCATCATTTTCTGTGTGTGCAATGTTCCAGAATAAAAGATGAATCTTCTTCAAGCGATGAAGACCCCAGAGCTGCCAAACAAAACCTTGGGTCATTACAAACCAACTCAAGTCATCTCTCATTATTGTCTGGAATCAGTTACAAAAAAACACTGCGACTCACTTCTGACCAGCTTGTGAGTTAATTTTACATTCTTGTCCTGAAATGTCATTTTTAATACAACATAAGCAATACTGTTATTCAGACTTGCAAAGCTTAACTAGCTCTTACATCTTGCATATTTAATTCTCTTACTGTTTTTTCAGAAAAAAATACTTTCCCTTCTCTTTTCAGTACTAATCATGAATGTTCTACCTGGCAGCAAGTGCTGGGGTTCAGAGACTGGGAGAGATGGGATCCCATTTAGAAAAATATCAAAATTAAATTCCAAAGTATGTATTTGTCATCTGAATTAAGTGTACTGGAACCACATCCTTTTTGTATTATGTGTGATGTGTATACGTCAACCCACAGGCCTCTCTTCCTTTTTTTTCTTTCCCCCCTTTTTTTCTTTTTTGTTCATGTTCTTTCCTTTCCCTTCATTCATAGGCAGTCAGTCACATTTTACATAAATACGATTTTCTGTTAGTAACTTCTGAAAAAGCTGCTTGTGAATTTACGATGAGGCCAGGCTATTAATTTCTTGGGAGCCAGTTCTCTTCCTCTGTGACAGAGAGGAACAAAACATTAGTTTTGACTAATGGTGACAAAACTGTTACAGTTTGGTGTTCTGCACATTCCAATTTGATCTGGAAAAATGGACTACTTCAGGGAAATACTTTTTGTTGTCTTATGTACAGCCAATTAGTTTTCTGAAGGAAACCCACACAGAGCGTACAGCATTAGACAGCCCATCACTCACTGCCTGAATAGTTTGTAAGAAATGTAGAATTTTTCCCAAGAGACAGATGGGATGTGTTTGGTGATTCTGTATAGCAAACAGAAAGCAAGAGTTACACAAATACACTGATATTTTTCAGATTCAGAAACTTCACAGAAATTAGCTGAAGCTAAAACTACTGTTAAATTGGTTTGTTGATGAAACAGTGGGTGAGATGCATCAGTTACCCATCAGTTGTTCTGCATTCCCACCTCCTTTTCACTTTTTAACAAATTGAAAAATTGCAGTGAAATAAATATAACTCAGAAAAAGAGACACTTAAATTACTAAACTCCTGCAGGTTTTGTGAAAATGGTTAGGTCCACAAATGGAATCAAATCAGTATTCTCTTGCCCAGCAAGTCACTAAGTGATGCAGGAGACAGTGGAGGGAAAGACAGGGAAGTGGGAGAGTTAAAGAAATTTTGGTAGAGACTGAAAGGTAATAGGTCATATGGTATGAGAGGTGGGTTATTATAGGGAAGAGACGTAACACCATAGAGCACAAATCCCCATATAAACACTCTTAATTAAGGAGTACATAGAATTCCTTGTTACCCACATTTCTCTCTGCATATATATCTATATCTCAAAATGAGAAACCCCCATAGATAGTCCCTGTTCCATAGTTTGTTATTGTTTGTGTGAATTTGGGGGGATTTTTTTTTCTTCGTATCTCTGACTGAATCAGAAATTTTGTTTGTTTTGTTCTCCTTTATATATCAATGCCTAATGTACACCACACAAGGCAAACCTCTGCTATCGTTATTCAGACAGTAGCTCTGCTGAAAGCAAGAAGATTCAGTGTGACAAAAGCAATGATCATCTGTGGGTCACTGTGTCCATTTCACATGCTCAGTTTGAGTATCTTGCTGATAATGTCTTGCAGAAAAGCTTAAAGCTCAAGAATGGCCCCAATGATGTGACTTTTAGTGTTACAACACAATACCAAGGCACTTGCCGCTGCGAAGGCACCATTTACCTATGGAATTGGGATGATAAAGTTGTTATTTCTGACATTGATGGAACAATCACACGGTGAGTTCATGAACACAGAGAGGTTTTATCTGTAAGGACAAGTTGTCCTTGGGACTAAAGGAAAAAGTAGTTAACAGAGAATTTTGAGTCACAGAATTATCATATTCCAGTGTTTGGGGTGTGTGTGTGTTTTTATTTGCCTTTCAAACAATGCAAGAATCATTAGCTGATGCTATAATTTCATACAGACACATGCCATATGTGCCCATTAGTTGTCACCTATAGGTGTTTCATGATAGTATTTACAGTAGTATTGGAGGACCTTCTGCCAAATCATAACCTTTTTGCTGCATCACGCTTATGTAGTACACTGACTACATTAAAAAGCAGAAACACATGAATTCCATTTAAAAAAGGTATTACTGAGGCATTCCAGTGAGAGGCATTATTATTTAGAAGACAAGACTATGAAATCAGTGTCACAATTAAAAGTTGCTGGATAGTTTCAGGTTAGTACTTTGAGTAAAACCCACATTTCTGGAGTGACCAAAATGATTCACTTGCTGACTTTTATTTATTTATTTAATATTGGGAAAAACAATTGTGTGTGGAATAGGGAAACACATAATAAAAATATAAGCATTTTCTTTTGACCTTTTAAAATGAAATGCTTAGTTTTGTTTCAGAATAAATTTCTTTCAAAATCAAACTTAGCTATATCTTAATTAGAAAAAAGAACACGGAAAAACAATTTCCAAGGACAATCCGAGGTGAATTAAAGTATTTAATTTAAACTGAAACTCTTTTATTCCTTGTTATTTATCCATTGTAGGGCAAACTTTTTTTTTTGGTGCCAACATAAATTAATATTTCTCCCTGCCTTTGTTTTCTTCAGCTTCAATAAAGTGAATGGGATCTACTCCTCTCTCGGCTGTTGAGCTGACCAGAGAGTTACTGAATCACTTCACCTTATAATACCATTGCAAATCCATCCTAAGCCACTGCCCAAAGTTTTCCCTCTAAGATGCAAGATATTCAGGGTGTGGATTTCTTGCTGTGTGTCTGTATAATGCGTAGTCACATGAGGTGCTCGTTTGTTTGAATTTCTAGATGATATTATAGTGTAAATAATTTTGTCTGATGTAAAGCGGAAAATAAGTTGAAACCAGTATAACTATTTTATAATAATTCATATATGACCAACTACAGGCTTCATATGGAGAAGTTAGTTTGAAGTAAATTAGAATGTCAATTCTCATGCTTGTAATTTACCATAAACTTCGTATATGGGTAGATTTGGCTTATTTAGAAAACATTTAATGTAAACCTCAAAAAGTATACTTAGTGCTGGCTGGCCTACTACGCAGGTCTGGCTTAGAGCCTGGGTGCTGTAACTTCCATGTTACCTTATGGGTCACCAGCTTATCCACGAAGACAGGTGCTGGGGCACAAGAGTAGTTAAAACAACATGGCCAAGGATGGACATGTCAGTCTGTCTCAAAAGAAAGGGGAATGAAATCATCCTCTGATCACAATCAATACCTTCCAGAAAACGTTGCTTTCCTTTGCCGCTATATCCTTAGCCAAATAAGTTAGTGAGGTTTGTATTAGCCTCATCTGTTACTATAAGTATTTGGGATTTTTTCAGTTCAACTACATTGTTTTTCCTTTATTCAGGTCGGATACTTTAGGTCATATTTTGCCGACTCTTGGAAAGGACTGGACACACCAAGGGATTGCAAAGTTGTACCATAAAGTGAGCCAGTGAGTATTCAGTAAATCTGTTTATGCATCTGCGGTTTGTTTCTGTTTATTCATTTGCACATAAAAATTAAAATTTCTCTAGGCTTCTCTTAACCTGAAAGGGTGACGATTTTGTCTTGTCACTTCAGTAGTGCTTGCACAGTGTAAACATCTGCTGTATGATACCCAGAGAAAAACCTGCTTTGTGATATCAGAAGCAAAAGCCACCTACCAGTGAGTAGTGATTGCTCTTCCAACCATCCCAAACGATAGCTACAGCTAGTTCTAAAAACTGTAGTAATTTGAATGAGTTCTGTGCAGCTGCAGCAAGTGGAACACTTTGTAAACTGGGAGTTGCAGCAGCATTAATTCCTAAGATGCTGATACACTTTCCCTTCTCTCCCTCTTCAGGTGGTTGTGAAATGCATAAGGACTGTTTAGTCTAGGGTGGTCACTGTAGGTGGAGTTCTGCTTGCCAAACTTGACTCACCTGGAGTCATGCAGGGATGAAATCTAAAACACATGGGATGAATCCATTTGGGGGAGTTCTCTCTCTTTCCAGGGACTAGAAAGGGAGTTTAGCCAAACAGCTTAGACCTGAGCTGTGCAAACATTGGGCTTCTAGTAAAGCATGATAAATATTGCCCTGAAAGCTTAGTGCTGTGGCTTTCTTGAGTAGAAATGGACCCATTTTGGATACTTGCTGCTAATATTCTTGTTGCTTTATTTGTTGTATGAGTAATGCTGAGCTTCAAAGACAATGATCTTTACGACTGATGATTATACAATTTATTTTGTTATTTCTATGTATAAATATTTGTTGTTATTAAATTGCAAGGTTTGGAAGGAGCAGTCTTAAAATATTTTTGTGTCATTGTTTAATTTTGACAGTAGGTTAGAAGTAAACATTGCTTAAAGTGCAATTTAAAGTCATTGAAAGTCACTAAGACATATGCTGTGAAGAGCCTGAGGAACTGTCTTTTACCTGGCAACACCAGTGTGAGCCGCTATATTATAGCATGGTGGTTGATCTGCAGTGGTGCCTGTTGGTCCACAATAACAAATACCTTCTGTGCCACTGGGTGGAAGGACCTGCTTTCATCATGTTTACTGGTGGCTTGTACTCCCTGTGTAATCTGTGGAAAAAGGCAGGCATCTTCAAGAAGTAGCTCAGTATACCTAAGATCTAGCGATGTTTTAGAAAAATTTTTTTTTTCCATTAGCTGTTGAAGAAATATTGTGCTTTAGGTCAGTTAATGTTGTTAACAGGGAGAATATCCTGGTATAACCCTAGAACAATATATTAAAAAAAAAAAGGAGATATTTCCTCTGGTTATGAACAGGAGAAAACCAATCAGAGCATACCAGCTGCCGTGAGGCGATGTGTGGGAATGCTTCTAGGTGAGCAAGGCTAGTGCAAGAGTACGGGTGTACTGTTTGTTCCCTGGATACATTTTGCAATGTAGTCAAGACATTGTGTGCACTGAAGAATCAAAGGCTGAGAGTATGGTGAGTTTTGTGATTAAAAATTGAGAGAAAAAAGAAAATGAGGAGAAAAATTAATTGATGTCTGAATGGGATCAGGTGAAGTATCTGATGTATTCTGACGTTATGCATTCAGATTTTATCTTTTACAAGGAGGATTACTGAGTGCTGTCTATTCAGGTTGATATTTCTGCTTTACGCAGAAAAGAAAATTGGTTTTCTTTTATTACATAAATTCAGCTGTTATATATTCAAATTACTGTAAATGTTTGAAGAGCCTCTGGTACACATCACAACTGTCCTCGTAGTTACTCTGATTTGTTCTGTGTACTGGGGTTATGCTAAGGTTCGTTTATTGCTTGTTTTACAGGGATGATGAATTATAAATTATGAATGATGGAATCTAAATTATGCGAGAGATGCTTGTCTGTGCTTTTAGTCTGTACAGACATACATGATCACAGGAAAGACAGGACAGCATGGGAATTCACATGCTGAGCAGCATTTAGTTCTGTGTATAACCTCTATATTACAGTTGGTGACAATGTTAATTAATTTTTTAAATTGTAATTGTTATTTCTATGCTATTGTCAATTGTTAGGGCTTTGATGATTGTAAACAGGGGGAAAAATAGATTTGAGTCGTGTTGTTTTTCAGATTACTGAGTTAATTATGTAGGGGCTAGATGTTGCAGGTGAACACCATGTAAATGTTCAATAGTTAGATTTAATGACCATACATGCACTGAATACATTATTTCTTGATGAACAATAATTTCTTTATAGGACTTGCAAAGTCAATTGCTAGAAAGTTGAACTAACATCGCTGAACTATGTTCTGTCATGAGCAGAACCTAGGGTAACCTGTGCCTTCTGCCAAAACTTTTATTTCAGTGTCAAGTCAAAGATTACTTCTCATACTGTGTTTTGAAGTTCAAATTTGCTCCGACTTGAGGGAATATATTACTGCTGCACATAGACTAGTCTTTTTTTGCAGAGGCCCAAGAGGCAGGAGTACAACACTGTGAATACAGCAAAGGATAATACACCACTGTCTGCTTTATGCCAAGTGTTTTCCTCTTCGCGGGTGTCATTTCAGTTAAAAGAGTGTGGTTCCACTAAGCAGGGATGAGAGAAAACCGTAAGAAGTCATAAGCCGTAGCCGTAAGACGACCAGAAATAAATGAGCCCTCTTTAGGTGTGAATCACTAACTGCAATGGAGCTAAACAGAGCTTAATTACCCAAGTTTCTGGCATAAATGTTTTTCATAAAATCATAGAATGGTTTGGGTTGGAAGGGACCTTACAGATCATCTAGTTCCAACCCCCCTGCCATGGGCAGGGACACCTTCCAGTAGACCAGGTTGCTCAGAGCCCCGTCCAACCTGGCCTTGAATGTTTCCAGGGATGGGGCCTCCACAACTTCCCCAGCCAACCTGTTCCAGTGCCTCACCATCCTCACTGTGGAAAATTTCTTGCTTTCGTCTAAATCTACCCTCTCTCAGCTTGAAGCCATTACCCCTTGTGCTATCACTCCAGGCCCCTGTCAAAAGTCCCTCTCCAGCTTTCTTGTTGGCCCCTTCAGGTACTGGAAGCCTGCAGTGAGGTCTCCCCTCAGCCTTCTCTTCTCCAGGCTGAACAGCCCCAACTCTCTCAGCCTTTCCTCACAGCAGAGGTGTTCTATCCGGCGGATCATTTTTGTGGCCTCCTCTGGACCTGCTCCGACAGGTCTGTGTCTTTGCTGTGCTGAGGGCTCCAGAGCTGGATGCAGGACTCCAGGTGGGCTCTCACCAGAGTGGAGCAGAGGGGCAGAATCCTCTCCCTTGACCTGCTGGCCACACTGCTTTTGATACAGCCCAGGATATGGTTGGCTTTATGGGCTGCAAACACACATTGCGTGTTTTTATTCCTTTTAAATAAGTCTAGGTTAAACAAAAGTGTGTTGAACAGTCATGATTTGATTTGTGTAAAAATAAACCCGTGAAATTTTTAATGTCAAAATACCTGCTTTATTTTTACGATGATTTCATCTTTTTTTTCTGTTCACAGAAATGGATATAAATTTTTGTATTGCTCAGCACGCGCTATTGGAATGGCAGACATGACCAGAGGATACTTGCACTGGGTCAATGAACGAGGAACTGTGCTGCCTCAAGGGCCAGTGTTGCTGAGTCCAAGCAGCTTGTTCTCAGCTTTTCACAGGTACTGCCATGTCACTTTTATACAGAAAGCAACTCAGAGGTTGTTGGAGGCTGAATTTTAAGCTTTTTTTATCGGAGTGCTTGAAATCATTCATGAAGTTTTTTCTTGCATATCGGTGCAAAATATAATTGAGAAGAAATTTTGTTACTGAAAGACCATAATTCAATAAATAGTCACATTACTTTATCTCTTAGACTAGCCTCAGTATACATCTGTGTGCGCTGCTTACCAATAGGTACTGCCTGTTGACTTCAGTGTGTTTAACATGGTGTGTTAATGTTTAGCTATGAGAAAAATGTTCACATATTAATAACAATCATTCTTGTCTTGACTTGTAAGGTGTTACAATTGGCATAAATATTTTTTTGTGGAAGAATATTACTTGGTGGGTTTTGAAGAACTTCATGTGAAAATGAAATGAAGTTTTATATTCCTGACTGTACTGTGGTGTTCTGTGTGGACAATGTTGTTCTTTCTAGGTGTTGAACTGTAAGAAGTGAATAATAACAGCACAGATTATGAAAATTGTACCTTCTTCCTCATTCAGTGAAGCGTTTCAAGTGATTACTGAAAATATTTTAAGCCGTTAAAAGCTGCTGTGACAGGATATATTTCATTAGAATTCTTAATGGAAGGTTGTTCAGATGTTCTTCTGATTGAGTGACATGCTACAGGCTGTCTTACCAGTCATATTCTAAATATAAGAGACTGTGAAGGTATTACAGTGCACTTCTTAGCCTGATTGAATAATAAATGCAGTGAACGGGTAGTTACTGTTATCTTATGCTCCTCATATCTAAAAGTATATTTAAAGTGATACTCTTTTTGGCATCTTGTTTAGACTAAAGAACACCCATCTTTCAGTACACACTACTGTAACTGCTGTCATGTGTGGGCATTAAATGACTGCATTGTTAGCCATGGATTTAACTATTGTTGTTTTGAGGGCTCTCAGATCAGATGTATGTGAGACTGAGGAAAGATGGTTTTATTCCTCTTTTGCACATTCCCAAACTGTGATTTGTACATGGAGCTGCTGTTCCAAAGGGCTGCATTACTCCTGTGAAGCTTCTGTACTATTCACATCTTCCTTGACATATGTGTTGGTGCTAGGATGTGGGATTCTGGGCTTCTTAAGCGCTTTTGTGTCATGCTGGCATCTTCCTATGTTGTGGGAACTCCAGACTCTGCCACCTGTTCAGCCGCCTTGCCAAGAGAAGCTGCTGTGAAAGGGCTTTCGCCCAAAGATGAGAGCGCTCCTCTGTTCCTTAATGGATTCTGTATTCTGTAGGAGCAACGGAAGAGAAATAGATGATTCCTTTATTCCTTAACTTCTGCTAATTAGCAGTGATGGAGGACCCTGACTGCATAAGTATCTTAACAGGCTGAGGTGCTTCTAGCACATATGGTAATTGCAGTCCTTTAAAAAATATATATATACACACAGTGAAGGCTAGTACAATCTGTGAGTCATTCTGCAGTTCTCAGGAAGCAGTTTTCTTGGTGGCAATTTATGTCATATAAATCTTTATTTAGCAGCTACTCCCTCTAATCAACCATCCTAGCTCAGTACTATCTTCACAACATAGGTTTTAATAGAAGTTCCCTTGTTTCAGAGGACTTATTGACAATGCCCATTCTGTAAGCTTGGGAATGCTATTTTGTCTTCATGGGTACTGTGATTTCCAAATGAATATTTATTCAAGAAGGGCAAGGGCTCTGTAGAATTATGCAGCCAGGTGAAAATGTTGAATAAAGAAAATAAAAATGGTTTGTGCTATGTTCAGTGTATACTTATTCAGCCTCCCTTTTTTTATCATTTCAGGGAGGTGATAGAAAAGAAGCCAGAAAAATTTAAAGTTCAGTGTTTGACAGACATCAAAAATTTGTTTTATCCTAACACAGAACCTTTTTATGCTGCTTTTGGAAACAGACCTGCTGTAAGTAATAGCTGAATTTATTTCTATTGCAGAGAACAGAAATGTTGCTGTTATTTCACGGCTCTGTTACAGTAGAGCCTAGAAGCTTTAAATGGGAGTTAAGAATATTTTACTAGGCTCTGTACAGAGGAAAATATAAAGGTCCTTCCTCAAAGATCACACAGTGTTGGAACTGTAGTTGCAAACAGAGATGGAAGAGCAGCAAAGTAACTAGGTTATATCTGCATAAGTTAGCATAACAGTGGATACTGGTTGAAATCCTAACTAAGCAATCCTTAAGCTTGTGTGAAAAATCTGATCTGATTTTACTCCACGGTGATACACTGTCAGTGAGATACCTGTGGAAAGAGAGAAAATTTTTCAGATGAGTGTTGGTAGGACTTCCTCTTCAAACTCTCAGTACATTCAAAAGAACTTGGATGTCCCACTGAAATCAAAAGGTTCTGCTTTACATGGGAAGTGATACGGTGTTTGACACAGAGAGGGGAAGACAGAGCTCCTCACCCCTTTTGAAGGCTGTATAACTGGGCTATAGGCTTTTCTTACTCCTGTCCTAGCCCAAAGAATCTGTTTATGCACCCGGAAAAGGAAACAGTCTCGGGGGCTAGGGCAGAGGCGGGGAACCTGGCATGTGATTATCCCTTCCATGAAAGAGTTAGCACGATGCAAGAGCCTGTCGTGGCACAGGCAGCTAGCAATTTCTGGATACGATTGCTGTGTTAGCTTGGGGCAAGGCCTCTTCCCAATGGGCATTCGATATAGCTGTATTGGGAAGGGTGTGTGTATGGGGGAGTGTGGAGAGATTGGGAAGGGGGTGTGTATGGGGGAGTTTGGAGAGAGTGGTTTGTTTTGGTGTTGTTTTTTTTTTTTTTGCAGGAAGGCATACAGAGAGTTTAATAATTCTGACACAATGTCAGTTGATATCCAGGTTTGAGAATGGGCACTCACCCTGTCGAGTTTACTAGTGTAGATAACGCTGTCAGTGCCTTTGAAATCTTCGAAAGCATCCTGCTCTCAGAAGGGTATATATAGAAGACCTACCTTAGATGTTTCCAGTTTCACTGGGCACCTAAATTTAGATGCTAACTAAATCAGGCAGATGGGCCCCTGATTTGTGCTGAGGAGCCCCACAGAGCGTTTGGTACTTCCTCCCGCTCTGTATTGCCAGGTAGTGTTTGCTGTAGAAACTGAAGTGTCGTGTAGTAACATGTAGCGTGGTAACACTAGTGAGGCGTTTATGGCTAAGGACCCTTGGCATGCAGCTTGGGTGTATCCACCCTGTTTTGGAAGCTAAACCCCCTTAATTGTATGCCTGTCTCCTGGCCATGCCATTCGGTCATAAGAGAATGGTCCATGACCCTGCTTATTTCCTAGTATGGTTAGCAAGAGAACACTTCAGTTGGTTACCTCTTTCTTTAGTTGGTGGAGAGAAGTGGGCCATGTCTGGAGAGTAAATGATTCAAGTTCTAGGTGACCGTCTTTCTCTACTGCCTCCATGAGAGCTCAAGGCTTCTCACGGAAGCGCCTGAGGACCACGGATTCCAGCCCTAGCTGCTCAGTGCTGTAAGAGCTGAGACACCTTCCCTAGCAGAAACATTGACAGCTTGGGGAAATTATCAGTATAAATGTGGACACTGGCCATTGCCTGTGTGAATATGAACATTCAGACACTGGGCAGTTTAGATGCGTAAATGTTGGACAGAGGTGTCTGGCAAGATACTTTGGCATTAAACCTGTTGATGTTGTAGGTGCATTTGAGAAGACTCAGGATGTCTTTCTGATGGCACTTTGTCTCTACATTTGCCTCATATTTTTGTTAGGCTTGCTGACATTTGTGAGCAGCAACATTTTCAGCTTCATCTTTTACCGGATTATGTTGTGAAAAGCATTGTGTCAGAGAGGACAGGGGGTCCTCACTGTCCATTTGCTATATGAAGTTGATATGTCATACATGGCTTCATTTCCATTATCAAGATACCTTTAGACACGTGGTTCTGAAATAACTTTTTAGACACTTTTGTCTTTTTGCATTATCAATGATGTCTACCTCTAGATCTATTTTCTTGAACCTCAAGGAAATAAAACCGTCATTTTCATGTGTACTTGAACAAAATTTCAAGTAAAGCAGTAAGTTAATGTTTCTGAAGGAATTACTGGTGACTTACTCCTCTGATGGCTGTTGGAGTACAGTCTTCAGGTGTGAGACGTGCCACTGGCTTTGTGAAGGTCAGGATCATCGCTTTCTCAATTTTCTGCACGGTTTGTTTTGTTTCTTTTTTGTTTGTTTGTTTGTTTTGTTTTTTCCCTCAGAGTAAACTGATGAAATTTCAGTGCTCATGAATGTTACAGATGTAGATAGTGCATGGACAGCCAGGATGCTGAATTCTTGAAGTGACTGCTGTTCGCTTTTGTTCAGTTACTTTTTTTTTTTTTTTTTTTTTAAACAGTCTTTGTGATACAGAGATAAAAATAATCTTCCTATCTTCATTAACATTCCAGTCTTCCACCACCTCAGCTTTTAAAACCATATCCAGTAATGTATATTGGTAAAATGGAAGCTTGTTTTTGCTCTGATCTTCTGGGAGTTATTTTCATCTTTGCTTTTGTCAAGCTTTTCTGAAGAACACATCAAAACTTACTAATGGCTTTCCTTAACAATTTGGATTTCTTAGAAGACATTCTTACTTCTAATTGTACTTCCCAGAGTTGTATCTGCATTACCTGCTGGAGCTCACTGCTGCTATTTTGGCATCTGTTCCTTGCTTTCCCTGCTTTCTCCCTTGCTCTGACATGGAGTCAATATATGGGTATGGCATGAATCTGAACTCGGGAGCTAAGAGGTGTTTCCAGGGGTTTTAATGTAGACAGAGTAGTTATGACTTCCTTTTGTGACCTTGTCCTTACAAACTAATCACTATTTTACGTGTCAGTTATGTTTTAACCTTTGTGCGCTGTTGCAATATACTCAGTACAACACACTCAGGAAATGAAATAGTCTCTGACAGAAAAATGAAAGCGCAAATGCTTTTATACCAAATGTCATTATTTTTTTTTATTAGATGTTATTTCTGTGTCAAGGGAAGTTACTGAAAAAAAAAGAACAAGATTTTGATCAATAGTTTAAACTGAAGTGGCAAACTCCTTACCTAGCTGCTATTTCATGAGCATTTTGTTAGACTGACCTCGTTTGTAACATACTAGAGAATTTCAGACACACAGTAACCAGGTAGATTTAGTACCAATGCTGTACAGACGTGTTCTTTTGTGTAATATGTTCCAGCAAGAATAAACATTATTATGCAAAGACAAGATCATGATTTTTTTTTTTTTTCCTCTTTTTTTCTCTCTTCTGTTTAGGATGTTTATTCATACAAACAGGTGGGAGTTTCTTTAAACAGAATATTTACAGTTAACCCCAAAGGAGAACTTATACAAGAGCATGCAAAGACAAACATCTCATCGTAAGTAATCTCTTATCCATAACACCTTATAGACTAATTCAATTTGCTGTTCTAATTTATGACTCAAGTTGCTCAAAGATGCATTTGTTTCCTTAAAATATTTTAAAAAAGCCCTAAAAAATTTAGAGTAAAATACAGACTTTCCACTTCAGTTAAACTGATGAAAAGGAATTGTTTATTATTTAGTTTAATACATTACATGATTAAAGTAGATGGAAAAGAATTATCAATGTACTATTTAGTCTGCATGAAAATGAGATTAGCTAGTTTCCTGAAGCCATCTGCCTTTTCATGGCCTTTTCAAAATTTCCCTTTGCTGGAGCTCCTATAGAATCATAGAGTGGTTTGAGCTGGAAGGGACCTTAAAGACCATCCTGTCATGGGCAGGGACACCTTGCACTAGACCAGGTTGCTTAAAGCCCCGTCCAACCTTGAGCAAGGTTCTATCTAGAAGAGCCAGAAAACAAAACCTGAAGATAGGGCTTGAGGGCCAGCAAGATACTTAGGCAGTGTAGCACCTGACACTGAATGGACGTGGCCTTTAGTAATGTTGAGTGCCCTTAATTGAAAGGGAGCAATATGCATATAAAATATGATTAATCAATTGAACAGGGAGTTGCTTGAGCCAAGCTGCACAGAAATGGAGAAGCAAAATAGGGGGCTTGAATATTTTTAGCAGGGGATCTGAGTGGGAAAATGGCATCTGTTTGTTACCAAGTAGGTATCATTGCATAGAATGAATGGATTTCTCATCTGAACTGTGAATCCTCTCTGGAAGCTAGGCACCAAAATCAAGTTTAGTTTTATTTATTTGAGGAGGATGACTTGTCCATGTAATAGCAGCAGCACCTTAGTAGTTGAGGACTTACAAAAATTCGAAGTAAGAAGATCTGAAGTGGTTCAGCATTCTTTTTACTTGTTTATTTTCCAGCTATGTCAGACTGTGTGAAGTGGTAGATCACATTTTCCCTTTGCTGAAAAGAAGCCATTCTTCAGACTTCCCTTGTTCTGACACCTACAGTCAGTTCACCTACTGGAGAGAACCTCTGCCGCCCTTTGAAACTCAGGATGTACATCCAGCCTCATCTTAACTGCATCTCCCAACTGTTGGCCTCAACTTAAAGAATGAGTTAGCTTGTACTGAGAGGACACCGCTTGGCTTTTGCCATTGAAAGTTCAGCTGGGATCTGTGATGTTGTGAGCATTGTATTCTTTTGCTGTGAGCAAATTTAGAAATGCTTTTTCATACTTTGTCACATTTCCAGATGACAAGAAGGAGTCTGACCAGGAATAGGAGTTGCGTTTCTAGCCCTTCACCCAGCTCCTCAAATTGTGCCATGCAGTTTCATCATTTAAGGTCAAATAAAAGTGAAGTGACTTTGGAGTTACAGTTAAACATGCCATAAGGTTGTAAAATGGTTCAGTATCTTTTCTGCAGCACTGAAGTGATCTTTCATCTCATCAGAACCTGCTGCAAGTAAGGGAGCCAAAGGTGCTTGCCATTCCTGACTTCGTCTGGTGACAAGGACAGGGCTTGCAATCCATATGTCAGAATTCCCTTCTTTGAAGGGGCAAATGATTCTTCTTCTTCCCCCTTGCTTGACCAACAGCTGTTTGTTAAGAGTTAGTTACTGCTGTAGATCCTCGGTTGCTGTAAATCAGTGTAGCCATCAAAGCCAATCGAGCTGTGTTTATTTATTACAGCCTGTTGTTTTGACGTGGTAACACTTTTCTGAGGAAATAAATAATGTGTAATCTAAATAGAAAGCAAACGAAATGAGATGGCCAGATGCTGGCAGTTTTTCTCAATTTGAGAAGCACCCTGCGTCAAAAACTACTTGAATTAAGGTAAATGTGCAAGTGGAAGATAGGGGCCACTACGCGTAGTGCCCATCTTACTGAAGTCAGTGATTTTTAGTAAAGACATTTTACCCACCAAATGTGCTGAGTTTCAAGATCGTTATTGAGCCAAGAACACTGAGGATTGTCAAAATGGAATAGTGTTATTTGAAACATTATTTTGGCTAAAATGTGCACTTTGATGCTGGTAAATGATGCATCTCAGGTTTTTACTCTATGGAATTTTTTGGGGGGTTTATATCATAAAGAATGGATGCTTTTAGTGCAATTTACTGTCCTCCAAGATAATGAAATCTCCTCTTTCATCTTTTTTTTTTTGGCTTGTTTGTCCAGACACAAGCTGTAGATACTGTTTTTGCTACCTGCTTTTGACTGCCTTAAGACTTAACTGTACATACTAAAAGCAATATCAGTTGATCAGTTGATAACGTTTTCCAAATGGTCTGCCTTTACACAATGCGGTACTTTACTTAAAATGTAAAATCAAATGACCATGTGCCAGATGATCCTCAAATGTGCTTGTAGCTGGGAGAGAATCTTGTCTTTGTTGTTTTTCCTTTTCAAGTATATTTAAAAGTCTAATAGTTCTCTGAAACACTGGAAATAGCATCATGGGTTTCCATGTATATTGTATTGCAGTATGGCTAAAACAGGGCTCCACAAGCTGTGGTCTCTACCAGCTTGTGATCTGTGAGGCTATGGCACATGTTTTGCAGCTGCTTTGTGGTGCTTTCAGTTAAGAGTTAGTTTAATGATAGGAAGGCAGAGTGGTACAGGAGAATTTTTAAGAAGCAATTGTGGTCAGTTAGCACCCAAAAGTTTGGGAACAGCTGCTCTGTATCACATTTGTTTTGTTTCAACAAGTTCTGTTTTTGCATGTCAAGAGTAGCAACATAGGTGGGATGGTAGCTCTACCACCCTATCGGCGGGTAGGATGGTAATTCTGTAGTAGAGTTTTTCTAACTTGTAGTGCTGCAGACTTTATCTGGGATGTCAGGGGGCCAATTCATTATTTCCCTGTGCCTTCAATAATAATGAATATAAGTGCAATCCTTTATACAGTTACAATGCGCGGTGGTGAGCTCTGCCTGAGTCTTCCTTTTCACGTGAACGTTGCTGCTTTGGGCAAGGTGCACACCCACTGGGAAATACCAGAATTTGACAAACACAGAGGAAGAAATGCGTGTTTAACAACCCAGACTGATTGTGTTTTCTTTAAAGTTTAAAGAGAATACAAACGTCTTTTTGCTTAAAGATGGAAGAAATATGTTAACAGTTTTTTCAGAAGGACAATCAGTGGGGATCACAGGTTGCCAAACTGAGACGGTTGTGTCTCTAAATGTAGCCACACTTTCCTTTAAGTAGCTATTAATACTTGTCATTAATGATTGAATAAATGGATTAAATGCTAACTGCATCCTGTTTTAATTCAGTTTTCATAAAGGCCTGTCTCAGTCCATTTATTATGCAAAATAAAACCAAACCAACCCTCCCCTTTAGTAAGAGGCTGTCACGTTTTTGTTGATGTGGGTTTTTTTTTAATCTTTCCCAGCAGTTAAGATCTGTTTTTCTGAAGGTACCGCACACGGTAGCTTCCACCAGAAAAGACAGTCCCTGGAAGTTCTCCGCATTTAAAGCCTGTGATGTATTTATTTATAACTTAATCAATAGCTAATCCAGGGTTGTTTGTTGGCCATTAGTACTTCAAACCGAATGACAGCATGAATGAGTAGTCATTTTAATTCCATCAGATTTTTAGGCATAGTGCAGCACTGGTACAGGCAACCCTGAGACGCTGCGCAGTCTCCATCCTGGAATTTTTCAAGACTTGGTTAAGCAGGGTTATGGCCGACTTCATTTGGTGTTGGCAGTCGCTGCTTCGAGCGTGGAGTTGGGCTCGATGCCCTCCAGGGGTCCCTTCTGACCAGCTTTTCTGTGAGTCTGGGAAGTTAAACGCCTTACTGGTGACGTGCTCTGTACCCCTTTGTGTCTGAAAGCTGAAACGAGTGTGTGTTTGTATAATGTTTATCAGATTTGCTCACAGAAAAGACACTTAAGAAAATCAAAGTTTTGATCTGCTAGAAGCATCACCATACTTTTTCGGAGAATGGAAGACATTTTGATGTGGTAGCTGAGCAATTTTATGCAGAATATTTGAACTGCTTTGTTAATTCATGTAGAAGAAAAAGGGATGGTTTAACAAATTCCTACTCTTTCTATGAAAGAAAAAAAGATCAACCTTGCTTGCAGTGTAATGCTGGTTTCTGTTACAGAAAGAATATTTGGCTAACAAATATGCAGACACATTAAGCCACAGTATATTCTATTTATACAATACACATAAACTAGAATATGCAGCAGTGAGGAGTGACTAATGTTTATTTTCT